TTTTGGTCCGAGCCTAAAGTAGAGAGACCTTGGGATACGTTGACGTTGAATTGGCCCTAGAGTTCGACGTCACCGACCCATAGCATTTATCTCAGTCGGGAAATCAAGCCCTTTTGGGGTGCACCACTCATCTTCTTTTAAAACTTTCTTTTAAAATTGAGTGACACTTCGAATATGATTCGTCCTATATAGAGTTGCGAGGGCCGGCCGATTACGCGGCTTTTCTGTCTTAGCATAGGGGTATAGCAACAATTTACCGAGGGGTGGAAGATTTGGTTAAGCTGAATGGCGTACGACCCAGTAATCTATCCGCCGACCTTAACGTGGTAAACAGCGCCACTTATCACCCACCGCTTCCACCTTGGCATCGTGGCGTAAAAAAAGGAAAACTATGTCGCCTATGTTGGTGTTGTGCCGATAGCGTCTGTCGCGATTCGAAGGGGATTGCGCATTCGTAGGAACGTGATAGTGTGTGTTTCCCTACACGCCTTCGTTCCTAACCCCACTCCTATAGATCAGAAGTCTAGTCCTTTAAGTTGAAAAAGCAGAGCAGAGCAAGTTGATGACGTCGTTGAGAATTGCCAACGCGAAAATCAGTAAGCAAACAATATGTTCTCTTACGGATTCTATTCCGCCTCGCTTGTTTTTCTTCAATTCTCTCCCTTTTAGCACATTGACTTTCATTTCCAGCGGCAACCAATTTATCACATTTCCTTGGTAGTGAAACTACTGCAATGGAGAGCACACTTGCCTGGAAGCAAGACGGCCAGGTTAACACGTTGGCGACAAAGCGCATTTTCGCGCGTCTGCCACGCGAGGCCGCGCGCAGTATTTTCGAGACGTGCGTAATTATGCTGGGACCCACCTATACCAGAAATGTTGAATCGCAACGCAGAAACGGTTTAGGCTTTGCGAGTCTCAGTCTTTCTCGATGGCCCAAATCAAGCGTAAATCTTTCCGTATTTTCCAGGGAGGATTCCAGAGAAAGCTGGAAAAACTTGGTTTTCCCACTCAAGTATCCGTAGATGGGGTTGGTCCCAAATCTCTTTTCGTAAGAAGTTGTAACAGTACTCCAACCGACTGGAAGCATAAAACCAGCTGGTTCCATTCTATTCCATATCCATTCGGGAATAACAAGCTTTACTCTAGGAAATCACTTTCAA